TTTAAAATCTTCTATTTATTTTAAAATAGATATTAATTTAGGACCTAAATATTACAAAGCTTCTATCTTATTAAATTTAGGAGCCTCAGTTTATTTCTTAGATAAAAAATTTGTTAAAAATATAGCATATTTTTAATAAAAAAAAATTAAACTTATTCATATAGAAGTCATAGATAGTCATTCATTGTCTTTTAGAAATATTATTCATGAAAAATTTCTTATAAAAATAAAAAAATAATGATTATAGTAGCTTTTTAATATTTAATATAATTAGATCTCTTTTTAATCTAATAATTTTAGATTTATTGTTGATAGAAAAATATAATCTTTAAATAGATTAGAATTTTTATAGTCTTTATCTTTCTCAATGTATAATTAATTTTTTTAATATAATAAAAAATAAAAATTTTAATGCAACAAAATTTATATTTGTAGGTACAAGTACTTTTTTGTATACTACAAAAGAAGAATCTCCTTGTATTATTTATGCCAGACCTGTTTTTAATGATAAAAAGACTTGAAGTGATATTCTAAGCCAATATCACGATTATCAAGATGTTTTTTTAACAAAATGAATGTAGATACTCTTCCAAAGAATTATTCCTATAATTGCTCAATTGATCTTTACAAGAGAAATCAATAGCCATTTTATCCAATCTATAATTTATTGCAAAATGAGTTGATTGAGCTAAAGAAATATATTAATAAAGATTTGGCTAAAAATTTCATATACCATTTAAAAATTCCAATAAAAGCTTCTATCTTATTTGTAAAGAAAAAGATAGTTTATTTCAAATGTATATGGATTATTAAGGACTTAACAAAATTTCCATCAAGAATATCATCTTTCTTTCATATTAGGAATTTTTTATCAATTAAATCAAGTTAAGATCTAAACTAAAATAAATCTATGACAAGCATATAATTAAATATGCATCAAAGAAGGTGACCAATGAAAAAAAAACATTTCAAGCCAGATATGGACTCACAAATCCTCAATTATATTTTAACATCTTATGAACAATGTCTTTTAAATACTTTTAGGTAATTTTATTGTTTATTATTTAGATAACATCTTTATCTATTCTAAAAATACATAAGAGTATGAACTTCATGTTTTTTTCTATTACAAAAACTTAGAAATGGAGAATAATATACTAAGATGGAAAAGTATGTATTCTATATTATTCAAGTTGACTTCTTAGGATATATCATTTTAAATGATGGCCTTATGATAGATCTTAAAAAAGTTCAAACTATCATAGATTAAAAGGTTTCAAAAAAAAAAAAAAAAAAAAAAAAATCTATATTTTTTGAGATTCAACAATAACTACCAAATCTTTATTAAGAATTTTTTTCAAGTTGCAGCTCCACTTATAGGTTTGACATATAAGGACAAACTTCAATGGAGCAAAGAAGCTATAACATCTTTTAAAGCCTTAAAGACATCATTTATTTTTGCACCAATCTTATATAGTGTTGACTTTTTCAAGCCATTTTTTATAGAAATAGATGCATTGGGCTTTTTTTTAGATGTCATATTATTATAAATAGAAGTAGATGATAAACTTCATCTACTAGCTTTTTATTCAAAAAAGTTTTTAGCAACCAAAATCAATTATTAGATCTAGAATATATAGCTTCTTTCAATTGTGGATTCATTTCAAGAATGGTGCCATTATTTAGAAGGCACTTTTAGTCCAATCACCATATATATAGATTATAAGAACTTTGAATATTTCTTAAGAGAATGCATTTTGAATCATATTTAAATCTTTTTCAACATGTTTTTATCAAGATTTCATTTTAAGATTACTTATCAACTAAGAAAATAACAAGTTTGTTGAAAGTTCTTTCTAAAAATTCTTATCTTATACAAAAAAATGAGATATAGCTTTCAAAAAATAATAATAAAAAAAAATCTTAAAGTTAGAGATTTTTTTTTTTTTAATCTTTGAGCAAAAAAATTAACATTGACTATTGATTTGATTTTTCTTAAGCAAGTTAGTCAAATATGTCCTCTAATTCTCTTATTTATGATATTAAGAATAATTCTTCTAAGTCTCATGATACTTCTAAGTTTGAGTTTAAGAATAATCTACTCTATTTTAAAAGATGCTTATATATTCTAAAAGATAAAATATAATTATATATTCTTCATGTTTGTCATAACTTTCCAATAGTAGGACATATTCAATACAAAAAGACCTTAGAGCTAATAGCTAGAGATTTTTGGTGGCTTCAAATGTATAGGGCAATCAATAACTTTGTATAATCATGTGATATTTTTTCAAGATCAAAAATTCCTCATCATCAAATATATAGACTTCTTCATCTATTATCTATTCTATAATAATTAAGGTCTTTTATTTCTATGGATTTGATTATAGATCTTCCAATTTCACGTTCTTATAATTCTATATTTATCATAGTAGATCGTTTTATCAAGATAGCATATTTTCTATTATATACAAAAACTATCATAAATAAAAAAAATATCTAAGTTTTTCCTTGATAATATCTATTGCTATAATAGATTGTCAAAGGATATTATATCAAATTAAGGGGCTCAATTTATATCAAGATTTTAGAAAATTCTTTTTAAGATTCTATAGGTAGACATAAAATTATCTTTAACTTTTTGTCCTAAAATAAATGAACAAATAGAGTACGTAAATCAAATTTTAGAAAAATATTTGATATGTATCATTAATTATCAACAAGTTTATTGGACAATTTTTTTATCATTGATAGAGTTTATTTATAACAATATGATATATTCTATTATTCAATAATTTTTTTTCTAATTATGATTATTATCTATAACTTGATGCTTTTGATTTTTTAAAAGTTGATAAATCAAAGGCAAAAGATTTGACAATTTTTTTATTTAAGCTACATAAAAAAATGAAGGTACAATTAAAAAAAGCTTAAGAACCACAAAAGATCAATATGCATGTCAATTGCAAAGAACAATTTTAATTCCACATTGGCAATAAGATATGATTACTTCTTTGTAATATTAAGATTAATCACTTTTATAAAAAATTTAATTACCATAAATTTAGACCATTTCTTATATGTAAACAAATCAATCTAATCGCTTATCAATCTCATTTATTAGAGTCTATAAAGATCCATCATATATTTCACATCTTTTTCTCTTAGCCATATAAGACATTGAATATCTTGGAAAGAAGGTAAATACCACTACTTCTTATAAAAGTAGATAATAATCAAGAGTTTAGGATAGGAAAAGTTTAGACAAGGCCATGCTGACTTGGATTGAAATGTCTTGTTGATTGGTACAAACATGATATTAGTAATTGCACATGGAAGCCAATAAAGAATCTTGCAAATGTACCAAAAAATGTCTAAACTTTTTATCAACATCTATCAAAATCAAGATGAAGAATTAAACAGATCTTTGCTATAAAAAAAATGATGTCTGATATATATTGTATTCCATCTTTTATCATTTATTGTGATTTCTTTGTATTAGTGGTGCTAACAAGATAGAAAATCAATAACTAGTAGATTGAATTTAAGAGCTATTATTTGCTAACTTACTTGTCAAAACATTATAATTGTCATAACCTTCAAGATGACATAGTAGAAATGAAGAATTTTAAGAATAATATTTTTTCTCAAATAGATAGCAAGATACAAGGCATTTGGTATCATGACCATAGAAGAGACTTTCAATATTTAGTGATTTATTGGAGATAGATATAAGTCTTGATGGTATTACAAATTTTTTGTTTGAAGAAAGTTATGAAGACCTCAATAATAATCATATAATAAGATTAGCCATGTGTCTCATGTATTGATAACTTGTGGTACAAATTAACTATGTAGTGCATATATAAGAATTTTTTTTTGTAAGTTAACACATATGTCTTATAAATTAAATACATGTTAGAGGTCTTATAGAATGTGGCTACAATAGCTCTTAGTTAGATAATATATATTCTTACCAACTCCTTTCTTGCTTTTAGTTTAATTTCAAAGGTCTTTAATTTTCTTGTCTTTTTGCAATAACCATTCTTGTTTCTTTTCAATGTACATATTTACTTATTTCTTTTTTTTTTTATCATCCTTCTTTGAAAGAAATATCACTTATTTATTTACATTCATTAAATTCTTGTCCTTGACAAACTTAGAGGTGTTTTCACAAGGATATAAATGGCTAGCATATTAAGACTAGGACTTTATAAGGTTTTAAAATCTATAAAATAATAATAAATAAATAAATATATATATATATATATATATATATCCAAATTTCATCCAAAATAGTTTATTCTACCTAAGTTCATCCAAGCATGGAAAATTTAACAATAGTAATTCTATCTCAAAATCCTTGATTAGCCTTTTGGATGTGAATTGATCTTTTGAATTTGAACTTTCAATAGATACTAAAATTTTGGTCCCTGCCTTTGCTCAGCTATTTGGCGATGGAATTCAGAAGGGCCTCATTAAGGCAAAATGGAAGCTTGAGATCGTGCTTGGATGCCCTCCAACCAATGCTCACAAACTAAAACCTGCCTTCTTAACTATGTTCACAAACTGCAACCCCCATGGAAGGGCACTGCAGTTGCTAATTCCAAATCTACCTAGGCAACGATTATTTCTAGTACTAGGTCAGCTCAGGTTTTAGGTACGCTATCAAAACACCCGCAACACAAGGCGGCCATTCTAATTCAGATCAAACATTCAATTCTAAACAATTCGCTTCTTGTGTAAAATCTTGAGTCAATTGCTACACCATGTGCCTTGCATGTTTGCTCGATTCAGCAGCGGCATAAACTGTTAAGTACAGTCTTGTAATACCACCGCAAGGCCCTTCAATAGGGCATTAGTTGACAACTGTAACCAATTGTTGACCAGAACGATTTTCTTCAATTAAACCACAACCGCATTCTGATCTTGAGATGCACGGCGTAAACACTAGCACAGCGGTGGAGAGGGGAGGGTCGAGGATTGTTTGCACTGCCCACCGAGAAGGCCACCGAGAGCAGTCCACCGCAAGGCCACCGACCACCGTAACTCAAGAGCCATCAACAGGGTCAAAGCCGCCACCCCTTGACTCCAACCGCAATTCCAACTGATCAACGCAAAAAACGCAGTACTCCGCAATATTCGCAAAAAACCATGATACTGCACAGGGCTTGTGGATACAGCAGCAGCGACTTTCAATACATCGACGCGTGGAAGGACTCGTGGAAGGAATGGAAAATATGGGGGCTGATGTCACACCGCACCGTGAGGATTGGAGAACCCCACCTTGGTAGCAATTTATCAACGATAAAAATCAGCAATCCCAAAATCACTGCCGTGCGGTAGAGGAAGTGATGCCAACTAGCATTCACACCCAATCAAAGGACACTCCAAAACCCAATCAATGGCACTCCCCCGCACAGAGGCCGTCGCCAGCAGCAAAACACCCAAGTCCAGATACAGGTCCGTGGCCTGGAACAGTAAAGAGTACAAACAACACCGACGACCAAGGGGGAAGGAAAAAAACTCCCACCGTATGCTTGAACGTGCGGGGCTCCGAGGATCATAGAACATAACAGGACATACCCAAAAATAATGGAAAAAACACCAAACTAGGACTTGGTTCTGCCGACCACCAAAACACCATAAACAGAAGCCAGCCGCCACAATGTTGTCGGTCTTTGCCATAGTTCAAGTAACCAATCGAAGGGAACTAGGCGGCGACAACCACCGCACATCTCCACTGCAAGGGTGCAACAGTAAGACCACAACAGAACTAAAACACCAGGTCAATAGGACACCACCTTGTCGACCTGTCGTCGAGGGGAACAAAACAAGAAGAACAATAACCTCGTTGCTTAAAATCACAGCAACAACGTCGATATAACCCCCTCCACGGCTGCTATCTAACCTCAATGCCAAAAAATAAAACCGGTCTTAGTAGCCAAAATCATGCCCAGCTCACCAGGCCACCAGTGCCAAACACAGAACCTGAAGCGCCGTTGACAGCACCGGTCCGGCTCAACACACAACACCGCAACACGAAGAAAACACAATCGCACACCAATGCGGAGCTCCAGGGCCAGAAGAAAATAAACAGGAAAACGGGGTTTCTAAGCAACGCCATCGGACAACAGCAGCCCACAGTTTCCGCAATCAGGAAACACAAAAAAAAAGGAGATTCACTTTGCGACTGGGATCCCTGTCGACAGTCGCTCTCCCCGAAAGACAGAGCAGTTCGATACCCGTCCGCGCAGGTATTTGGCTCCATATGTATCTAGTACCGTATTTAATTCAATATATATAGTATATCGCATTATATCTAGTATAATATTCAGATCCATATAATACTAGAATTTTAAATATTTATATTCCCTCTAGATGCTCAAACGATACTAATAAATAAAATAAATAAAATAAAATTATCTGTTGGTAAAGTTATATCTCTTACAACCAATTTTTTTTGTGCTATTGTGCAATATCTTTTAGTATTACCAATGTCTTCATTATATAGGTTAATGATTTGTATATAGGTCTATAATGTTTGACTTTCTTACAACTGTAATTCTACAGATTCTGAAGCTTCACATCTCAGATATGGTTTGTGATTATAGAAGATCTACAATCAAAGGTGTTCTAGAATCATTATTGGTATTAGTCATTGGATGCCTCAAAAATTTCTAGTGACACCACAAATTACCACTTAACTGAATTCAAATTTAGCCTAGCAGCATACAAACATGATAACATGATATTAGCCAAGAAGTACAAACATTGTTAGATCATAATCATGATAAGATGATAAATGATTCAATGAAACCTTCTTTAAGGAAGTACGTGGTTTTTTCCTACATCGCTTCTTGGTGGAATACTACTAAGACCTAGTAACTAAATAAGCAACTATATTTTTGAATTTGTATGTATATATCCTTACACACATATTCCGACAGACAATGCTTTCTCTTTGTTTTAATTCATGTGATTATTTAAGCTGACGGATACAATATTATGTCTGCCTACAACAATATTCAAATCATAAATACCTTCCATCATGGTTGTTTGTGGTGGAAAGAAAATTCACCACTTCAACATTGACAATGCACTTTGAATGCAGGCTTAATTGAAGGGAAGCTCCAAGAGAACTTGCAAAATGTACCCTATGCACTCAAAAACTTCGCAAATGTTGCACATACAGTTCACATGGCATACAAAATATGGTGTTTTGGGCTTGGTGCCAACACCATGACACACTCAACTCCTAGCGCAACATTCACATTGACCACCACAATGAACTCTCCCACGGGCACGATGATTGAACCAGGTCTTGTTCACATATATTGGCATCGACAAAAGCGATGTGATGGGAAAGAGTCACAAAAATATTATGACCGGCAGGTACCATGGTCAATGTAACAACTGGCTATGTCTGGCCTAGAAGGTGCTCACCACTATCCTGGCCTAAAGTCTCAAAACCAGCCACCATGATTCTGTCTTAGTTTGTATCCATCAGGTCACTGAATCGATGGCCAAATTGAAAGGAGGCGATGCCAATCTACAGGAAAGAGGACCCATATGCACCACCCTCCGTACATGTACAAAAAGGATACAGGTACAGATACAGATACAGGAGAGAAGTGCAGAGCTAACAGGAGGGTTATTGAATCATGCTTCATGAATCACCTGGATGAGTCGTCGGATGAGGAACAGAACGATCCTCTGAGTGCATTAGACACGTGCACATCCAAGGTGTATCCTGGGCTTCAAAGTCCTGTCTGTGTTGGATCTCCCGCCGAAGCATCCCGGTCCTATTGCCTATCTAACCTACGCACCTACGGTCATCAGTGTAATCCTACCCTGTAGTCCCTGGAGAAACCCGATCACTTGTTCAGCAGCTGGCGCAACACGTATTGCAGAATTCCCCCGTGCGAAAAGTACGTCAGCTCCACCTGCGTATCGAATCGCAGCACGCACATAAACTCCTTGTTGTTGTCCGTTTTCACCCTGATGTCCATGCCCGGTTTGATGTCCTTCAGCGGTGGCATCTCTATAGTGTATCTCTCGAACCCAGTCAAACCCAGCGTCTCGGCGTCCTCGCCCTCCTTGAAGCACAGCGGAATCAGCCCCATGCCCACCAGGTTGCTGCGATGGATCCGCTCGAAACTCTTCGCAATCACCGCTTTGACGCCCTGCACCAACACAGTTAATGTCTCTGTTAGCCTCTGTCACCCACTCACACGCTCATTGCTGCGCGATTGTGTTGTATCCCATCCCGATCGACGCGGAACATCTTAGAGCATGATCGAGACATGCAACTCCGACTACGCTCCCCCGCTGGTTATGCATCACGCATTGCCGTCGATATAGCTCTTACCTGCATATACGGACCCTTCGCAGCCCAGTCCCGAGAACTGCCGCTGCCGTACTCCGCCCCCGCCAAGATGATCGTGTCGTGGCCCTCCTCCTTGTATTTCTGCAACATCAAACCTGACGCGTTAATCGTCTCATCCCCCCACTACACGCCGGAATAAATTTAGCGCTTCACGGACATGACGCAACCAAAACTAACCCCTTACCATGGCAGCGTCGTAAATGAACATCTTCTCCTGTGTTGGCACGTGCACGGTCTTCGGCCCAACTTCGCCTTTCAGGAATTTGTTCACGATCCGAATGTTCGCAAACGTCCCTCTCACCATGATTTCATCGTTGCCGCGCCTGCTTCCGTACGAATTGAAATCCTTGCGCTCCACTCCGCGATCCATCAGATACTTCGCAGCAGGACTGTCTTTGTTGATGTTGCCTGCCGGTGAGATGTGGTCGGTGGTGATACTGTCACCGAAATTCAACAGGCAGAACGCATCCTTCACGCTCATACCACCAGGGGGATCCTTGGACATGGTCTTGAAAAACGGAGGCTCGTGAACATATGTAGAGTTCGGATCCCACGCATACTGCGCTCCCGCAGGGACATCCAAGCCGTTCCACATTGTGTTGCCTTGTGTGATGGTTTGGTATGTCTCCTGAAACATCTCCGGTAGGACCGAGGTTGCCACCACCTGCGCAAACCATCACCCTTCAGTCCACGGAACGCAAGTAACTCTGCTCGCGAAGACTCAATCTTCACAGAGCTAAGCATGCTGCCATGCTGGGTTGGCCGGGCGAGAACACGCCCCGAGTAACCACCCCGGGCACACTATACCAGGGTACGCAGACCACACGGCTTAACCCCCCAGGCTTACCTCGGCAACCTCCTGGTTGGAAGGCCAAATGTCTCTCAAGAAGACGTTCTTCCCATCCTTGCCTACTCCGATGGGATCTTTCTCGAAGTCTATGTTCACCTGGCAACATCAAGTAGCACAAATCAGATACATTGAAGCGGCGTGCTCTCCTAAGCCTCAACGTTCTCTACGCAGACTGCCAAGCAACGCAACGCGAGCCATCCCCCATCGACACCCTGCCATTTGACCACAATAGAGAGTTCATGCTATCTTACCGTTCCAGCAAACGCGTACGCTACCACCAAAGGAGGCGACGCAAGGTAATTGGCACGAGTCAACGGATGAACACGTCCCTCAAAGTTCCGGTTGCCCGATAGCACAGCTGCAGCAACCATATCTGCACGACACACGGCACTACATCCGATCAGCAACAACTAGTATTCACACAACCCGCCGACCAATTAACGTATGCATTCCGCTACAATATAGCATCGAAGAGGCTGTCTGGTGAAGGGAGCGACGACGACGCTTCCAGTCTCAGAGTTCAAGCACAACACGTAAAGACCCACGCCAGCATAGAAAACTATCCAAAGCGCTCGCACCATTTGCTGCGATTGCTTCAGCGACGGCTTCGTGAACATCGCCTGAATTGCCGATGCAAGTTGTGCAACCATAGCCGACCAGACTAAACCCTTGCTTGTCGAGATACTTGTTCAATCCACTGCCACGATACAGAATATATGAGTAAACAAACAAACATCCGAGAACGTGTTGACAGGAACGCATCGTTTCCCACGACTCTCCATGGAGGTCTGTGAGAAGGGCAACAGACCAAGAACTACATGGTCTGACATCCCAAATCTCACCTTTTCTCCAAGTACTTGGTGACGACCCCTGAACCTGGTGCCAGGCTGGTTTTGACCCACGGCTTGACCTGTCGAAAAGCAACCCCTTAGAATGATGCAAACGAGCCGCAGCAATGAGCATCCACAAACGTCGTCATGCTTTTGTATACCATAGGGCACGCACCCCCAAATCATTGTATCCACCCCACAGATACAACATTCAACCTCGGCAACCACCCACAACTACTGCAAGAGTATCTGCATTGACTGGACCCCCGACTTCGGCAGATGCCAACCGTCTCATGGTTGTACAAAATCGACAACAACGTTTGATATGCCAGGCAGACCGCCACACGGAAACACTCCATTTATTGTGCTCAGCAGACTAACCTCCAGTCCAAGTTCCGTCGCTTTCTTTGCCACTAGGCCAGCCCCGAGCATTACGCTAGGATTCGACGTGTTGGTACAACTTGTAATGGCGGCAATGACTACGCTGCCGTGCCTCAACTCCGCAGGCTTTCCTTCATATGTGAACTTCGCAACCTTTTCCTGCTGATCTTTGGGAATGGCAAACCCCTGGGAGCCCAACAAAAAAGACACGTGGATTCAATATCCGCTCGCACATCACAGAAGCAAGTTCCCGAAAAAAACCGTGGCCAGCCACACCACAAACGGCATGAATTTCTTACCTTGAAGCCGACCTTGTTATCCAAACAACTTTGCCAATCCTGCTTCATGTCCTTGATCGCAACCCGATCATGCGGCCTGCGACCCACAACGCGAACAAGTCAATTGCTTCCACCGTCACCGCAAAAAGAGTGCCTTCCCATCAAGCACAGGCTGAACTTCCAGGGACTAGCACCAGCATATTACGTGCATGTCCAGCTATTTCAACCGGCCACAGTTGAACTACAAAAGAACGTCGTGCGGTCTCACGGCATCGGCCTCGGACATACTCAAATCTTTAGACCTCGACGGCTACTACGCACCTTTTCGGGCCAGAGATGCATGGCTCCACTGTGTCCAGATCCAACTCCAAGTAGGCTGAATAAGTGTTATCCTTTCGCGGCTGCATTGTGACAGGTCAAACACTCGGGCAGTCAATATCAAACAACCTAACCCACTCGAAGCTGTGACTGGCAAAACATATGAAGCGCACCTCCTAACGAACTGCTGAGAAGGTACCAACACGCTAGCAGCCAAAACAAACGGCAACACTTGGCAGCCGCTTTCAGCCACGATCAACGTCATGTACGTAGCGGATATCAGTCCCGAGAGCAATATAGTGCCCGGTGGACGGAAATAACCTTCTCATGGTCTATGAACAAGTTGTTCGCCCGCAGATAAGCTTCAATCTCTTCGACCTGATCAACCAAAATGCCCTCGTTAACTCTCGCTTGCAGGCAGATGCAGAAAATGGACGGAACGTTTGCAACGGATACCCAAAAAAACTGACAACCAATCACTACAACACCAGACACGTGTGACCCGCTAGTCGTGATCACCGCTCAGAGCTTAAAGGCGTCGGGCCCAACTCGACAAGAAGGTTTGAACCTTCCTAACAGACTCCAACAGCGCCTTGCCTCACCTTCTTCTCATCCCGTCCTGTCATCTTCAGATAATCCAGAGACACACGATCGACCGGAAAGAAACCCATGGTAGCACCGTACTCCGGGGACATATTCGCGATCGTTGCCCTGTCGGCCAGGGTCAGCTCCGACATCCCCTTTCCTGAACACGCACCGAAACCCTTCAATACCGTGCACAAAACTCGCAACCAACATCCAACCCGCTCTTCAACACGCCCAAGAAACCAACATACTGGAAGGAAAAACGAACTCGAATAAAATAAATAAATAAAACAATGCAGCAGAAGGTAAACAGGAAAACCGCGAGCAAAGAGAATCTGCTACAAGGACGACCACTTCTACATACCGTAGAACTCCACAAACTTCCCCACCACTCCAAACTTCCTCAGAATTTGAGTTACAGTCAACACTAGATCTGTGGCTGTCACTCCAGTCCGTAGCTTGCCATTCAGTTTGAACCCCACAACACCAGGCAAGACCATACTCATCGGCTGCAACACACACACTCACACAATTCATCAGTCAGTCACTCGACATCATCCCTGAATACTGCAGCATCGCGACTGCTTTGGCGATGCATTGACCCAAACACTAGTAACCGCCCCATACCCCCACTCACGCACTCCCCTTCGCAAACCCCCATCCCGTGGCCTACGACGCTCTTACTTGTCCAAGCATAGCGGCTTCGGCCTCGATTCCTCCCACTCCCCAACCCGCAACGCCGAGCCCATCGATCATGGTAGTGTGCGAATCTGTTCCCACAAGAGTGTCCGGATAGAGGATGCCGTTACTGTTGAACACAACTCGGGCCAGATACTCCAGGTTGACCTGCACAACCCGAACCATTCGTCAACTGCACCCCTGCAAGCTCCTCCTAAGCTAACCACCTCTCGCAAATTACAGATGAAATACGAACCTGGTGCACGATCCCGGACCCTGGTGGAACCACAAGCATGTTCTTGAAAGCTGTAGCTCCCCATTTCAGAAAACCAAATCGTTCCTTGTTGCGACTGAACTCCAACTCCATGTTTGCCTGGAGGGCGTTGGCAGAACGAGCAACATCAACCTGCACTGAGTGGTCAATGACCAAATCCACGGGTACCTGGTCCAATCAAGAGCAAACCAAACAGGTTACTTCTTTGTTGTGAGTCGGCGGTTTTGAAGCCCGCCGTGGCATTCCGCAGGTGTCTCTACAACGGTGTTGAACAGCTTGAAGCCGCAGCTTTCGAACGGAAGAACAGGTGAAACTAAACGCAAAGATAGGATGCAAGGGTTAGGGCAGCACACACCAAAGGATTGATCCTGTCCGGATCGCCGCCCAAGCGCGTGATCGCATCACGCATCGCGGCTAGATCGACTACTGCTGGTACTCCGGTGAAGTCCTGAGAACAACGACGAGTTTCAGTTTCGTAGAACTGACCAGCTAAATGTACATCAACAAGACCTGCAAAGGTACTTCCCTTCCAGCCAACTCTCCCTTTGTCTTCCACTGCGGTGCAGCGAACTCATCACGTGATGAAAGAGAACATGACTATCTTTGGACTTGCGAAATCAAAACACGTCCCAAACATGTCTACGGAGTAGCCGGCTGCATCAACAGAGCCTTCAACTCCGACCGTCAGAACAAGAGATATTTAGTACTGAAAACTAGACCTGTAGAATGACTCGTGCAGGCTTGAAGGGAATTTCGACTTGTTTGGGTGCAGTCTTCTCCCAATCCACAATCTTCTCGACGTCCTCCTTGGTGACCTGGAAGTTATCGCAGTTTCGAATTGCAGCCTCCAGCAGGTACCTAATAGAATAGGGCAGCGAGTCTGCGCACACAGCTACAATCTAAGGCTAGCAGAACAGGACACAGCAGAGTATCGCTACACAAAGTTGCGAATCACACACGGATGCAATTCCAGAGCTATGTTACTGCAGGTCTAACTCGGCCTCCCTGCACCGAAACTAACGTTCAAGCTTTCCAACAGAATCTGGTGACCAGCTAATCCACCCCACCTAATCAGGTCGAAGGAGTCCGTGCAATCCAACCAGCAAACATCACCCGCCATCAATGCAGTGTAGAAAAGGTCCTTAGTCCCGCGACTTACCAACCCTCGGATCGTTTAATTTCACAAGGCTGTAGAATTTTCCATAGCTGCCTCCATCAGGTTTCGGCAAATCAGTAATCAGACTAGAGAACGGATTCTCGGAAGCTGCAATGAAAACGACGACTGGTCAGTCCTCATGGGCAGCTAGACGCATTCAACATGCGTCATCGAAGCCAATGCAAATTTGTGAAAAAACTATCGATATCAATCGGGATGAAGATAATCATTTTATTGCACTGTCAAGATAGTGCACCCAGGGTGACAGAAATGACTCCGAATGACAAACGATCAATAATTATTTACATATTCCACAAAAATACGGGAATTGACAATGCGAAGGAGTGGTTTGTGACTAGAAATTTCAGAAGTGGAGTCTAATTGAGAACAAACTCATTTATTTAAGTTTTCAAAGAGCGAATCTTTCAACTTGTTAATGTGAAATTGTGTATTTAAAAAAGTAAAAAATAAAATAAATGTAGTGAGCTCAAAAAACACAAAGATACCTTGGGTAGAGGCCATCCTCGAGCCAGGCACGGTGGTCGTGGTGGGAACCATGGTTGGGGAGAGAGCTCGAGGACTAGATCGACCAACAGAAGCGACTGCTGCTCGGCATTCGTCAGCGGAGTAGGAAGCAGAAACTATAGTGCGAAACAATCTGGAACCTGCGGAATCCGGCGACAACCGGGGCTGAGAAGGAGTGGACCGGAAAGAGGGCACTCCTGAACGGATGGAGCCAGCTGAGGCAGCAGACGAAGCGGCACGATGGCCAAGGGAGAGAGGGAACTTGGAGGAGCACCCATGCTGACGCAGGGAACGACAAACATACATGAAGAGGGGCATGGTGAATGAGCGATCAGGCAGACGAGGAGGCAGGGGGAGACGCGACAGGCGCATGGAGGAGAGGAGGGGAGCACAGCATGAGCCGGCGGGGGGGGGGACAAAGCTTAGCGAGGAATTTGAGAGAGTGAGAAAGAGAGAGAGGGCCAGAGGAATTAGGGGAGCCTCCTCGGACACCAGTGGAGTACTCGGTGCAATGGAAGCGCAGTTCAATGCTGTAGGGTTGGCCAGCGGCACAATGTATAGTCGCGCAGGCGCGCCCGTGGTCTTCGCGTTGTGTGAGCGGCTTGCAACGCCCTTTCTTAAGTGGCAATGGTCAGTTCCCCTCTGCAATCCTTTCCATTTGTTCATCCATCCGCACGCGCTGTTCGGTTGGTTTCTGTTAGGGGAGTCAAAGATTCCATCCCCTCGTGACCGATCCAGTCACCCACCCACCCGTGCCTTCCATCACTTGTCTGTCCTGCCTTGTCGCATTTCTTTTAATTTTATGTTTTCCACGTTTGCTTTGGGCGTCAGTCGAAGACTTTGATCCTCTTCATGTCCAGGTTATTATTCCATCAGTCTCCCTCTACTCGTCTGTAGTTCCCAAGGTATCCCATGCTGGACTCGTCAATCCCTGCTGCCACATCCTTTTTACTTTGTTACTGTTGAGAATGTTTAGAAAGACACAAGAGTAATAGTAAGTAATACACACACACAAGAGTAGTAAGTCATACACACAAGAGGGTTTCTAAGAAGAGAGAGCTTCACACATGAAAATCTATTGATCTAGTTGTGTCTCGTACACAAGAAGAGAAAGGGGAGAGGATAAACAGTACTTCTCCACTAGATTCTAAATACTGTAGCTACAATATTTACTATAGTCTACAATAAATATTATGGAGAGCGCCGATTACATTTAATGATTTCAACACTCTTCATAATATTTACATAATATAAAATTTTTATAGAATTATGATCTATACTTTTCTGTGATCTTATAAGATCAACAATTGTTGCCTCATTAAAACCTTATCTAGGAAAATCTTATTGTATTTAAGGATAAAACCATAGATGAAGGAAAAAGAGTACATCATTTTTTTTAATTATTTAAAGAGCTCATTAACTTTTTTATTCAAGAAAAATAAGTCGCCGCATACCAATGCTATAAATAAGTTGACTATGGTTGCACAATGAGAGAGCTTTGGTGAAGAGATCAGCAAGGTTATTTATAGATTCAATTTTCTTAATTATAAGTGCTTGATCAGTAATCAAGTCAGGAATATAACTAAAATACTTTGAATCAATATGCTTTGTCTTGTTGCCTTTAATGAAACCAACTCGCATCTGTGTAATACAAGTATTATTATCTTTATGCAAGATAGTTGGAGAATCATCATATAAAAATCTATAGGTTGTTTGAATGAATTTATCAATTGATCGCAACCAAATACATTCTCGAGATGCTTTATGTAAGGCAATAATTTTTGCATGGTTGGATGAAGTTATAGTTATTGTTTATTTAACTAATTTCTATGATATTGTAGCTCCATGTTTTAAAAATACATATCATGTTTGAGATTTAGTTGTTGTAGTATCAGATTTATATCCTGTATCACAATATGTAAGCAATTTTGGATCTACAAATTGTGTGTAGTATAATTCCTAGTCTTCAGTACCTTTTAAATAACATAATAAATGTTTGATATCATTCCAATATCGTAGTATTGAACGTGCATTATGTCTTCCAAGAACACTAATTGCAAATGCAATATCTGGTCTTGTAGATGTAGCTTAATATAAAAGTGCTCCAACCGCTGCAAGGTATGGATATTGATCTCCCAATATTTCCTCCTCCTCCTTACATAGACGGTATGGATCATGACCATCACGACCACATCCAACTATTGATATGGACAATGGATAAGCATCAATCATATTAAATCTTCACAAGATTTGTCTAATATACGTTAGTTGGTAGAGAAAAATGCTACCATCTGTTAGATGCATAATCTGAAGACCAATGTAGAAAGTTATTTTTTCTAGCATTTTCATCTCAAATTCGCGTATAAGTAGGTTAGTAGCTGTAATACATGCACATGCAATGCCTACTAGGTTAAGATCATCAACATATACATTGATGATCACAAAACCAGTTTTGTCTCATTTGATAAACAAACAAGAGATTAATGGATCACTTACAAACTTATTTGTAATTAAATAATCTCGAAGACGTTGATACCACATGAGTCCACATTTTTTTAAACCATACAAGGCCTTACATAATTTAATACCACGATATTATCTAGAAGCGGGTCCATTTGGAGTTCCTATTTCTAAGTCAGGTGGTATTGAAGATTAGCAAGTTCTAACTTAGTTACTACCACATGAAGATTAATCATAGTAAGTTGTTAATAGTCAAAAAGCACCAAAAGATTAAAAGAAGTTACTATGGCGGCAGCTAGGGTTTTAAGGTGGCAGCTAGATTAAGATGAATTTAGATTTAGATCTAGAATGAAAGGATGAAGGTGACTCTGGATGAAGTCTATATACTTGGGATGTAAAATCCACCTATAAGTAAACGGTGTTGGAAGTAAGAGATATCTTTTTCCACACTTCTCTTAGACTACAATCCTTGTTGATGCTAAGTGTTTGTAGCTTTTAGACTTCTTTTCTTCAATAGGTTATGGGTCTACTCACATTTGCTTAAGTATTTTTTTTGAAGTTCTTTGAAGAAGTTTTCTAAGTTTGGAGTAGATCAAGTTGTTATTGCTAATGTTAGGCTTTAGAAGTATATAACTTTCAGATTCAGATCTAAATTTAGATCTTGGTTTGTTCTTACTTGTGATTAAGAGCATTTTGGTGTTGGTGTTTTGTTTTTTCACCTAAAGGCAAAGTTTGCATTGTGCTATTGCTGAAATAGATCCTTGGTGATCTAACTTTATAATTTCATGTCCTAAAGTTGTTGATTGTGCTTAAAAGGCCTCTTATAGTGTATAGAGGAGATTTATAAGCATAAGAGAGATATTAGAGTGGAAAATCAGATTTGAGATACTTAGATAAGTCATCAGACTTGTACAAAGTCTTAGAAGTGAAGTTGAGAGTGTTTTTGAGAGTAAAAATACTAATTTGTTTAAAAAGAAGGATTCTGTGATTCTAAGGTAGTAAAACCTTCTTGCTGATTTTGAGAGCATTAGGACTTCTTCTTACAATCTTTTTTAATACAACTCTTCTTTAGATATGGCTTCAAGTGAGTGTGAAGGATTGAGAGGTATTGAGATGTTTAGAGGTGACAATTTCTACTATTGAAAGTTAAAAATGGATCTTTTATTGGCATCTTTGGATCTTTGGGATATTGTAGATGAAAGTGAAGAGGATCTAAGCAAAGATGCTGATATGAAGGAGAAGAAGGAGTTCAAACATCGTGAAAAGAAGGCTTTGGATTAATTGCAACTAATGTAGATGAACCAAACTTCTCCTACATTATCTCTTGCAAAGGACCAGCGAAAGCATAGAAGACTCTTTGTAACATCTATGAGAGCCAAAACTTATCCAACATCATCTATACAAAGAGAAAGTTCTTCACTTGCAAGATGGAAGAAGGTGAAGACCTCATGGCTCATGTCAATAAGGTAAAGGCTCTTGGAAACCAACTAGCAATTGTTGACAAGCTTTTAGAAGAAAGTGATATTGTCATGACCTTGCTAATGAGCCTTCCCAAATCCTACAACTACCTTATTGTGGTATTGGAGTCGATCAAGCTAAAAGAGCTTACAATGGATTATGTGACAGCAAGACTTATCCATGAAGTAATCAAGAAGAAAGAAAAAAAAGCCCCAAAGTGAAGATTTAGCACTCTACTCACGTCAAGGTAAGGGTAACTATCCAAATCAATGAGGTAATGTCAAATCTTGCTTCATTTGTGGCAAAGTAGGCCATTTTGCTCGAAATTGCTACAAAGACAAATAGATGGAGAAGGAGAATGTAAATAGTGTGCAAGATGAGTTTGGAGGATAAGATTATGCATTCATGGCAACAAATGGAATCTCTATGGCTGCCATGTTAAGATGGATTAGAAATTCATGTTGTTCCAAGGATATGATACCTTATAAGTGTTTATTTGATACTTATGAGGCTATTCCAACATCAAACATTGTGTTGGTGGATAGTGGTACATGCAAAGCCATTGAAAATGGCTCTATTATGGTGAAGGTGGTTGTGAATGGATAAACCAATAGGATCAGATTCAAAAACATCCTTCATATGCCTGAGATGAAGCAAAACCTACTTTCCGTGAGTAAACTTGTAATAGAATGTTTTAAAGTTTAATTTGATATAAATGGATGTTTTGTAAGAACATTGAGTAGAGACAAGGTCTTCAAAGGCTTGAAAGAGGGAAATTTGTACTACCTCATTTGTAAGAAGGTGAATGGAGTGGATGTAGCCATATTTACTGAGTTTACATCAAACCAAGAGAAGTTGAATATATTGCATTGTCGCTTTGGCCATTTGAATGTGAAGAGCATGAGAGAGCTCAAGACTATGGTAAGTGGCTTAGATCTTAGCAATACAAGCCAAAATATAAAAAAACTTACATGTGAAGGATGCATACAAGGCAAACAACAAAGGGCCTCATTTCCAAGGAGTGTAGGAGCATGTGCTACCAAGTTGCTGGAGATTGTCCATTCAGATGTATGTGGACCTATGAAAAATACAAGTATTGGAGGATCAAGATATTTTTTCACTTTCATTGATGATTATTCAAGAAAGATTTGGATCTATATTCTTAAAGCCAAAAGTGAATGCTTTTGGAGGCTTAAGGAGTTTAAAGCACTTATTGAAAAACAAAGTGAATGCAAGATCAAGGTACTACATATGGACAATGGATGTGAGTATATGTCTAAGCAATTTGATGTTTATTTGAAGAATAAAGGAATTTCTAGATAAATCACAACTCCATACACTCCACGACAAAATGGTGTTGCTAAAAAGGAAAATCGAACCATTGTAGAGATAGCAAGGAGCATGCTTCATGTTCAAAACCTTGGCTATGATTTTTGGGTAGAAGTTGTGGTGAATGCAATGTTTACAAGAAATAGGTGTCCAACAAGTGATCTTGCATCAATGACACCACAAGAAGCTTGGAATGGAAGTCAACCTTGCATTTTCCATATGAGGACCTTTGGTTGCATTGCATATGTAAAAACACCAGATTGTATGAGGTCCAAACTTGATGCAAAAGGT